GGGATGCACAGCGTTAGTCCTCCGCCTTGACCCAACTCTTCCTCCTCCGCACCCCAACTCCTGCAGCCGCCTGGACTCCCTTCTCTAGCCCTAGTGGTGACAGGGCCAAGACTTAACCCCAGGCTACGGGAGGCCTGTGCACCACATGTGTTTTTTAAGATTGATTTATCTATGCGTACGGAACTGGGGTGCAGGCCAGAGGTGCAGGGTGGGGGTGAGAGGATTCACCAGAGATACTGAAACACTGCTGGGGGAGCAGCGGGGAGACAGGAGGGGTCTGCTGCGCCCTGGGGTCCCTCCCTGGCAGATCCCAGCTTCCTAGTGCTGCGCTTGACCCGCGGCACCAGCAGGGAGGGCCCCTAAGGAGCACCCGCTGTGTGCCAAACGCTGGCTAGCCAGGGGTCTAACAGCGAGCAAACAGGCAGACATCGGCCTTTGCCATGCTCACATTCAGGTAGGGGTTTTGTGGGTAAGCATTTGGTATCTAGACGAGGCAGGTAAATAGAGGTAAAAGGTTCAGCACACCCGAGTAACACGTAGGTGAAGAGGCAGGGAGGGGGGTGGAGCGTGCAGCAGGCTTGGCTCCCAGTTAAGGCTGGGGGGAGCTCAGCGTCTCTCTTGGGGCACGCACCCCCTCCCCAGAGAAATCACACCCCCTTATGATCAAAGTCCGTACAGTGGAAAAGCAGATGTCAGGGAGGCCGACCCGTACGTTGGCGTGCCCTGGGGCACGGCCTCAGTTTCCCTTGTGAAATGCCCCTACTCACTGAGCTGATGATGACTGAGGCCCCGCCCAGGCCCGACACCCAGCAGACCCCAGCCCTCCTCCTGCAGTGGAGGTGGTGAGCCCTGACTCCCCTGAGCTTCCTGCCTCCGGGGAGCCCTAGACCTCCCTGCAGTGGGACAAGGGGCTTGACCGGCGTCTGAGCAGGGACACAGACTAGAGTGTGCACAAAGTGGAACTGAGGGGACGAGCAATTTAGGGCCGATGGGAGGCTGGGAGGAGGCAGGAGCAGTGGCAGG